TACCTCTTCGTTATTCTCCTCTGCATAATTAGCCAAGTACAGTGCTTCTCTGTCATCACTCAATAATCTGACATTATTCATCAGCCTTTGTTTGGACCCCTTCCACCAAAGTTTGAACTCTGCATCATACTTAAATTCTCTAACTATTCCAACCGCTTCAAAATATGACCAACGATCCGGATCAACTCCTTTGATCACGTGTATCTCTCCTCCAACATACTGTAACCCCTTATTACTAACAAACTTCCCCATGTGATGCAAACAAATGTCGAAAACCATTTCTAGACCTACATTCACACATCAACGCTTTACGCACAAATTGGAACAACCATAACCGAAAAACAAAAACAATAGCTTAACTTACCTTTAAGCTTGTCTTTACGCTTGTCTTTGACGACCACCGGAACGACCACCGCAACCACCACCGCAAGGACAATCAAGATACAATGCTTCCTCTCAAAGCTTTCCACTACAATGCTTGCAGTAAAACTACGTTTTCCCCCCAATTGAAATATTTACTTTTCACAAATTCTGAACCCTATATCTAATTTCAATTAACAACGTAATTAACTGCTTAATCTAAGTTCAACAGTTAAACATTCCACGTGGCAGAGAGTGAAGGCAGAGATCACAGCTCACGTGGCATCGCCGTTTGACACATCCACAAAAACTTAACGCCGTCCATTTTTAAGGACTATTACTCAGAGTTTCAAAACTATAAGGACTAAAAACCATCAAAGTTCTGAGCAGGGACTAAAAACAAAATCGTCTGATAGTTCAGGGACTAAAAACATATTTAACCCAATATTTTAACATGAACAAATATTACCTATAACTTTCAATATTTTAAAATTTATTATCAAACTAATAAAATGAGTAGTGTGATATAGAAATATTAGAGTTTACATATTATTTATATTTAATGTAATAAAAAAAGTAAACAAGCTAATAAACATTGCCGGAATCGAAAATATAAATTTTTGTCTAAACTAGTTTATAACATATCGAAGAGCAGAAAGTGATAAGAAAGCTAAAATAGAACTTTATATATAATCATAGTAAAGAAAAATTAAAAGAATACCTTCGGAATAAAAGGTCATCTAGTTTGTAATTTCTAGATTATGCTTAGGTGGAGAAAGACAAATAAATTATTTAATTGTTAATTATAATTTTTGTTTCGGTTAAATTGGTATGATGGTCTATCCTCATTCCTTATTATGTTCTCTTTTGAACTTCAATCCTTTCCGAGAATGAAATTAACTTCGATAAGTTATTAACCTTCAGAACACACTTCGACGCTCAAGTCGGATATATTACATAAAGAAATATCACTATTTTATTATGATAGAAAAAAATGATTGTACTTGAACATCAATTATATATTTATAGCACTTGTGCATCAATTATATATTTATAGACAGTCAAGTCCATTGACCTATTAATACTTGTTAATTGTCCATTAATATATTCTCGTACAATATGGTCTGTCAATCATAGTGTATATTTGTATTTAATATGACCATTAAATATATTAATTAACCATTAATGATATTTATCTTTTCTGATTAGTGTCTGATTGATAGTCTATCAGATGTCTGTTTTGGCTCCAAATTCTCTTTAGCCGATTGGTCATCAGGGCATAGTACAATTTTTATAAAGAATTCTGACATTTATTCAATATAAATATAAATAGTATTTAATTTTTTTAAAATTAATTAAGTACGTATGCATATATTTCTTATTATTCTTATAATTAATTATATAATTTATTATTAATATATTTTTAACAAAAAATAATGAAAGTCACTTATCATTTTATATTAATAACAATAATATTTTATAATAATAACAAAATTTCATATGCTTTTAATGTGGATACAAACCCAAACCCATCAATATGATAGTCCAAGCTAAGAGCTACACAACATAAACTCAATTTAAAAATATGAAAATTTTGAGTACTCAATATAAAAACTAATGAAGACTTAATTAAAAATATCCAATTTTAATAAAAAATTTAAAATTTAACTAAGTTTATTATTTATGAATTACTTCTCATATCGATTCCTTCGATTTTCTTTTCTACATGTTCCATGTTGACGTTTTAGTTTAAACATGTTAATGAGTTTTTTTTCCATTGAATACAGTAATGCAGGTTGTTTGCACCTACATTACTTTGAGAAGAAACAGGATTTTAATATATTAAGCATAACAAATGGATGTTTCTTCATATACATGTTCTTAACATCCTATGGATTTCGTTATCCGACTATATAATATTTTTAAGTAGACATAATATTTTATTATGTTAATTAATGTAATAGTTAAAGAATATTTTAATCTGAATAAATATTATTTACAAGTTTTAATATTTTAAAATTTATCATTAAACTAATAGAATGAGTAGTGTGATATAGAAATATTAGAAAACTAAGTATTACATGATCCTACATTAAATATAAAAAATATGTAATAATTAGTTTTTTAATATTTGTATCGATCATGATATTTTAACAACTAATTTTAGCAACCTTTTGACAATGGGTCACATATCATTATTTGATTGGTTTGTTTGAATTTGTTTGAAAAAAATATTTGAAACTAACCAATCATAAATCGTCATGTCTGCAAAGATTATTAAAAAAAATTGTTAAAAGGATATTTTTCTTTAATGTAATAAAAAGGTAAACCACTTCAACCAAATAACTGGAACCGAAAATAGAAACTTTTATCTAAATTAATTTATAACTAATCGGAAAGCAAATATATAGTGATGAAAAAGGTAAAATAGAATTGTATATATAATCATAGTAAAAACAAATTAAAAAAATATCCTCATAACGAAAGTCCTCCCGTTTATAATTTGTAGACTATGCTTAGGTGAAGAATGACAAATAAACTTTTTCATTGAACTTGTTATAGTTTTTATAGAGAATTCTACATATCCAGTATAAATATAAATTGTATTTAATATTTAAAATTAATTATACAGATATGCATGTATTTATTTTGTTTTCATTTTTATATTTGTTTTTGTTTTAAATTCTAAAATACTCATTTTTTATTTGTAACTCAAAATAAACCGAAATGTTTAAAATACTTTTTCTTCTTAAAATTTTAGTTAGATAATTTTTATTTATCTTCATTTTTTTTAGTATTTTAAAAACTTACTTTTTTATGACATTTTAAAAACTTCAAGTTCATTGAATAAATAACTTTTAAGATAAAAATTTGATTATTTTATCACAACTTTAGTTACCTTTTTTTTAATGATTTTGTTCAAATAAAATACAATTTTCAATCTCATTAAATTAACATTTTATTATTTTTACTTATTTATCATTTTTATTTTTGTTCAATTATTATTTGTTATTTTGATTTAATATTTATGTAATTATATATATTTGTAATATTTGATGATGAATATTTTTTTTGCATCCATCAAATCATTAATAATATTATGTTTATTTTATTTTTATATTTATAAAAAAAAGTAATTAATGTGTAGAATAGTAAATAAATTGACATAGTCGTGACATTACTTGAGAATGATGAAATATACTTATTAAATATAAAAATGCAAATAAAAATGAGTATGTGGAAAATGAAAATGAATATACGGATCTATTCTGTTAAAAAATATTTATTTAAATTAATTTTTAGAAAACCTTTCAGTATTTAAAAGATATAGATATAGTTAATTATTATTTAAATTCAAAAAATCAAAATATTACTAATATTTCACACGTAACATACATTTATAAAATAAATAACCAACTATTTACTGTAATAAATCTCACACTAATAAATGTTTAAAATAAATCGTCGACATGAACTTTAACTCCATTATTTGTTTCTAAATTTTGTAAGATGTCAGTCACTTGTTCCGAGAGAAATTCCTTTGATGTCAAAATCACCAATTTATTCAAATGCTTCAATGGTGCTAAGTTTTGTAATAAATTAGGTAATTCACCTTGGTAATCTTTAACGTACAACTCCATCCTCTTAATATTGGGAAATGTTCCTTTCTTTATTAGAGATGTTGCTTGCTTATTGATCTTAAGACCAGAGATGGTTTGAAGATTCCACATCTTCTCATCTAATTCTGAACATCTTCCTCGCAATTCCATAGATCCTACTACACTCAAATGCCTTAAATGTTTGAGTTTCCATATTTGGACAGGGAAAGAAATTGGAGTGCGAATGGGATAAAAACTCAGGTGAATGGTTTGTAGATTCCAAAGGTTAAGTATTGAATCTGGAACAAATGGCTCTGTTGAAATTTCTACTCTTAAGTACCTTAAGTGGATGAAGTTCTCTAAATTGGAAGGGATCTTATGGCAACAGTTAGATCCAAACTCTAACACTCGAACCAATTTGCACTCGTCCAAAAGCCATTTCCACTCTCTCCCACCGACTTTATAATATGGCCCAAAGAAAAACAAGGAACGAATACATGAATGGTCATTGTTGCTTGAAGAAATATAGTGACCCATATAAATGTGAATGGACAGTCTGCGAGGTTTGGTAGGGATTAGAATGTTATTGTCTGTGCAAACTTCAAACACTTTCTCCTCTTTGCTCTCTGATATGCAAAGATCTCGAAGAAGATCATGAACCTGACACTTCGCCAAACGTCCATTCAACTTCACCCCTGCCTGGACCAAACTACGATCCATGAGCTCGTACAAGTAGTCTTCTGCAACATCATCTGGGTCTCTATTTCCTGTATCTTGTATAAAACCCTCCGCAACCCATTTTTTCAATAACGGCATAACAGGTATTTCAAAATCTTCAGGAAATAACCCAAGATAGAGAAAACATGGTTTTAATGCTCTTGGCAAGTTTTCGTAGCTGAGTTTGAGAACTATATCCTTCACTTGGGTCTCATCTCGAGTCAGATACCAATTAACATGACCTACCACTTTAGACCATTCTCTCTGTGATTTTTCTTTCTTGGCTAGCAGTCCTGCTAAAACAATGACGGAGAGCGGCAAACCACGACAACTTTGAACCATCTGCTTTCCTAAGGTCTCCAAATCAGAAGGGCAGTTTTCACCCTTAAACACTTTCCTGCAAAACAACTTCCAACTTTCTTTTTTACTCAAGAACCGAAGATAGTGAGGAACATCATCACCAGCATGCAAGGCCACCTCTTTCAAACGACTAGTTATCAATATTCTGCTGCCGTTGTTGTTGTCTGGAAAAGCATCTTGCACCTCATCCCAATCCCGCCTTTTCCACAAGTCATCTATCACCACAAGATACCTTTTTTTCTCCAAGCATTTCAACACCTGTTTCTTCAGCTGCTCCTCACTCAGGTTGTTAACGTCTGCGACGCTTTTCTTACCCTTCTTATTGCCGCTACGCTGTTGTTGAAAATTTGGCATCAAATGCTTAAGAAGACCAAGCAAAAGCTCCTTAACTCTGCACTCGTTTGAGACATAAACCCACGCACAACAATCAAAGTGGTGCTTCGCCTGACTGCTATTATAGACCTTTCGGGCAAGGGTGGTCTTCCCCAATCCCCCCATGCCAACGATAGAGACAACTTTACGATTCGAACCACCTTCCTGGAGTCGCTTGACGACATCCTTGGAGTCCTTGACAAAGCCAACCACGTGTTCTTCCTCCACGTCTCTTCTTAGCTTGTGCAGTGATTGCAACCTTTCCTTCTCCTCCTCTTCTTCTGCTGCATATTGATCAGTGGCTTCTCTGAAAGCATCATATTTATCCTTGTTGTCGCGTATCTCGTTGAGAGTGGTTTTGAGCTTGTCTATTTTGTGGGCTACGTGGCGGAGCAACCTTGCTTGGCCAAAGCCACGGAGCATCCTCCCCAGAAGGGTTCTCCTCTTGTAAATGGAAACTTTGGCTACGAAAGTGTCGATGACATCCTCAGCTAAGTGGGCCACATCTCTGATTTGGTTCACAACAGTATGTTCCATTCCCTTCTTTCTCTTTGTGGTATTGAGGAGCTCTTTGATCATCTGAAGTTCGTACTGTAGGGACTGGACTCTGTCCTCCACGCCATAGAGCAAGTTAGCTTCGCGTGCGGCAAGCTGGGCTAAGTGATCTAAAACAAAGGAAACTACACTGTCTGCCATTACAGGGTGGACGAGCGTGTAGATAGTGATACTGGGTATGTGGTTGGTGATGGAAGAAGAGTAACAAGATTTACGAAGGCACCAGAAAAAGCAATACTGTGTAGCTTGCAATAATGCATGCTATGAAAAGTGTCTGCAATAATAAATAAAGAAAGCACCAGAAAAAGCAATAGCGTGTAGCTGGCAGTAGCATAAAAAGAAGAAATATAATAGTTTGTCGGTCCATTCACTTTCCGTCAACAATGACTTCTTTTGAAGTGCATAATGTGAGGAGCGAGCACCTTCCTGCTATTTGCATTGCACTTTCTACCTATTTTCCTTTAAGATATTTACATTTATTACATTACAACATATTCAAATTGCTAACACAGCACTCCCGCCTTTGTCCTATATGCTTTAAATACACGTTGCCATGCAGCTTGGATCAAATTATTAAATATATATCCTAACAATCTCTCATCACTAATATATATCATATTAAAAAATAAGATAGAAAAACTTATTAGTATACCAAATATGTTAATTAATTTATTTTTGTTAATTTGTAAGCTCAACTAAATTCATTCAAAACTTAACAAAAAAAACGGGTATACTCAATTGAAATTAAATAGTGTATTAATCAACGTAAACTTTAGAATTTAAAAAAAAAATTGTTCATTTTAACTTAAATCCAAAATCTATGATTAAAAAAATAAGAAAGCTATATCAATCGAGACATACTATTTATATTAAAATAATATATTTAACTTAAATTACTTAAAAATAATAAATCTAAATACTCTATGTAAAAAAATAAAACCGATTACCAACATTATATATCATTTTCTATAAATAATCATTCATTTCTTTTTCTAACATGTTTTTGTTGTCAATATAGTTTAAATATATAATATTTGATTGTATCATATTCAGTAATTTTTTATAATATAAAAAATAAATAGGTAATTTATTTCAAACAATAAACTTGATAATTTTTTTGAAAGATAATTCACTATGAAGACACATACTAATAAAAAGCAAATTTAATTCAAATAAGATATTGAAATAATTTTTAACAAAAAAAAAAACTTAAAACGATATTTTTATATAGATTTTTTTTATGTATTGTTTAATTTTGTTATTTTTACTGAAGAGACTTAGACTTAGTTGAATTTTTTTAACAGAAGACATAGACAATGAAATGTCTCCTTGATATGTTAATCATTTTACCGAACACAATGCAAATCATTGTCAACTCATTTTTTATTATTCTTAACGTGACGTGCATTCATCAAATTTTAATCCATAACATATGTTACAAACTCTATAGTAATAAATAATGCAATATGATTCTTATTTTTTTCCAATTCAATTCGAGATCATACTTATTTAAATTAACCTTTCCTTAACTCATTAACACATGCAAATTAAATTTAATATCTTAAATTTAATCAAATTTTGACAAATTTTCAGACTGATATCCAAAGTGAGCAATATGTATCTGAAAAATAAAATTAAACAGTTTGAATTGAAATTACTCCAATTTTTAGATTACTTTGTATGTATTAACAAATTATATGAAAAATAATTTTCAAAGAATGTCTAACCATACAATTTAAGACTAATGATTAATGTTTAACCACTTTTACTAAAATTCAAATGAAAACTGTTGGAAGTCTCACATCGACTAGAGATAAGGCCAAATTAAAATATATAAGTTAGGTGCAAACCTCACCCTACAAGCCGGTTTTGTGGGGTTGAGTTAAGCTTAAACCCACCTTCTAATATGGTATCAGAGCCACTATTCTTCTATTCCACCTGCTACCCAATTTCTACTATCACGCACGAGATGTCTATACCTCGGCGTGAAGGGGGTGTGTTGAGGTGCAAACCTCACCCTACACGCCGGTTTTGTGGGATTGAGTTAGGCTTAAACCCACCTTCTAATAAAAACTAAGATTTACTCGAAGTATACATCAATAAAATATTTATTTTAAATAAAATTAGCAAAATAAATACAAGCCAAAAATTAACTAACCTTTATATTTAGGTAAATTCAGTCCTACACATATCAATGGTTATTTAGAAATAAAAAGCAATAGTGTGTAGCTTGCAATGGCATAATGCATAGTATGAAAAGTGGCCGAAAAAGCAATAGCGTGTAGCTGGCAATAGCATATAAAGAAGAAATATAATCGTTTATTGCTCATTCACTTTCCTTCAACAATGACTACTTTTAGCCCTTTTTCTTTAAATACAGCAACATCGTGATATGATATAATATTTTATTTGAATATCAAATAAACGTAAAAGTGTATCATGATATCATTATTTATTTACTAAAAGTTTAAACGAAAAATAAATACAAATTTTAATGAATTATTTTTGTTTATTGAATTTTTACAAAATTTGTATGATTATTTGTTTATATATATAACTGTCATTCTATAAAACAATTCCATTTATATACTCAACCAAACCTTTTCTTAATTTCAACTCTGATCGAATAAGAATTTTCTCTTCCAGTTTCAATTTTTTTTACGCATATAAGTACTTGTATTGCGTTATTTTTCTGAGTTAGGGTTTTCTACAAACAATTTTTACATTATTTTTGTTATTATTATATATGAATGTTCAATAAATAAAAATAATGTGTTTTTTGTTCCAATAGTTTTTTTATTCCATTTATATCAGAGTTTACAGCAATATAAATGGAAGAGGAGTACTAAGATCAAGAAAAAACTAAGCACCAGAAAAAGTGTAGCTTGCAACAATGCATTTAAATTTAAATTATGTATCACTATTTTATTAGTTTTAAATTAAATTTATTATAAATAATCACATAAATTGAGGTAAAAAATTATAAAAAAATTGTTAAGAAAATATTTTCTATTAATATTTCATTGTTCCATTGACTTTGCGTCAACAATGACTACTTTTGAAGTGCTTAACGTGAGGAGGGTGGCACCTTAGGATAATGATATTTTAACAACATTTTTTTGACAACATTTTAACACTGTTTACGTGTCATTCTGTGATTGGTGCAAAATTATTTCAAAATTAATAATAATAGTTATAAACACTAATATAGACCGACGTAAACAGTATAAAAATATTGTAAAAAAAAATGTTATCAAAATATCATTATCTTTACATTTATTTCATTACAAGATATTCAAATTACCTTTGTCTTATATGCGTTAAATACGCGTTGCCCTGCTGCTTGGATCAAATTATTAAATGAATATCCTGACAATTTCTCATCACTAATATATCATTAAAAAATAAGATACAAAAACTTTTTAGTATACCAAATATGTGAATTAATTAATTTTGGTTAATTTGGAAGCTCAACTAAATTCATTCAAAGCTGAACCAAAAAAAAAAACGGGTATACTCAATTGAAATTAAAAATAAAAAATTTTCTATAGAAAGTATTATGGTATTCTATGAATATTTTTAATTCTAAAAAAATCTTATAATTTCCAGACTATATTGAGTTTTTAGACATTTTTCTTTGAATATAATAACATCATGACATGACATGATATTTAGACACAATCATAATCAACAAGTTAAAAATGTAACAATATTAAAACCTATGTGAAAAACAAAAATAAAAGGAATTTTCTATAAGAATATATTTTTGTTTTGAATAAGAAAGTGTTGACAGATTAAAACCTATGTGAAAAACAAATGCTTACACAGAAACAATTTTGAAGATGAATATATATAAATTTTATAAAAAAAGACAATTATAATTTTTTCAATCCATTTTGACAAAACTACCTAACAATATCTCATCACTAATATATTGTACTGAAAAATAAGATGGAAAAACTTATTAATATACTAAATATTAATTGTTTTCAAATAAAAATATATAAATGAGAAAATGATAATAAACGAACGACTGTTGTAGAGTTTCATAAACAAAATTCGTTTACAATGAATTCACGTAAACAAATATAAAAAATGAGTTTTTCTTATGTTATAAACATTGCCGATTATGAGCTTTAACAAAAGTATTGTATTTTAATCCTAATTTTTAGGACGGATGTAGTTTAACTATAAGTAAATTTATGTTTGGTGTGATATTCATTGACGTAAATTTATGAAATATTGTATTAATCAACGTAAGCTTTAGAATTAAAAAAAACGTTCATTTTGACTTAAATCCAAAATCTGATTAAAAGAAATAAAAAAGCTATATCAATCTATATATTCTATTTATATTAAAATAATAATTATTTGTTTAACTTAAATTACTTAAACAATAATAAATCTAATAACTATCTTTATTTATCTAAAAAAATATAGATTAACGGCGTTATATATCATCTTTTTATCAATGATCATTCATTTATTCTTAAACGTTTTTTTCTTGTCAATATAGTTTAAATATCCAATATTTGATTGTGTCATATTCATGTTGAATAGTTCTTGATAATACAAAGATAAAGATAAATAGGTAAGTACATATGTTATTAAATTTCTAACACATTTATTTTAAACAACAAACACGATTAAAATTTTGAAAGATGATTCACTAAGGAGATACGCTAATACTAATTAGATATGAGTCCAATCTAAATAAATGATTGACATCATCTTTAACAGAAAAAAAAAGGCAACAAATTTATAAAGAATTTTTCCATTCAATTTTTTCATCTTTACTCAATGTGAGACTTAGATTCATTGAAATTTCTCAATAAAACACATGGACAATAAAATGTCCCCTTCATAGGTTATTCGTTTTACCAAACACATTGCAATTAGTCATAAACTCCTTTTTCATTATTCTTAATTTGATATGCATTCATTCAATTTTGATCCAATAATGCAACTCCATTATTATAACTAATGCAATACAATCCTCATTTTTTTTTCAATTGAAGGTGGGATCCTATCCATTTAAGTTAATGTTTTTCTTGACTCGTTAACACATGCAAAATAAATCTATTATCTTAAATTTGATAAAATTTTGACAAAATTTTACATTGATCTTCAAAGTATATGAAGAATAAAATTAATGGTTTGAATTGAAATTACTCTAATTTTAAGATTATACTTAATACACATGTATTACCGTAATTTTCAAAAAAAATTATAATCGGACAATTCAAGATTTAGTATAAAATGATTAATGTTTAATATTTTTACTAAATCTGAAATGAAAACTAA